CGCCCCGAGTCCTGGGAACCTCTCTTTGCTTTCTGTGAATTTGCCTATTTCTAGGTCCTTGTATGAGTGGAATCCTACAGCATCAGTTTATATGAGTAGTATTGTTACATGTCTCTTTCTGCTTCTCAGATTTGCATTTTCTACTATGTATTACATAGTAGATGCATAATAAATTTTTAAAACTCCCTCACTAGCCCACCCCAGGAACATAGATCTCTTTAATTTCATATAATTTGTTCCTTTAGGCCAATAAATATTTTTAAATAAATTATTGTATATCTTTTAAACATAATGGGAATCCAGCTCTATTGCTCTCTCAAACATAAGCAAACACTAGCATTTTCCCTACCACAGGAATTCTTTTCCAGCTATTTTTTTTCCACAAAGGCTTAATATTCCAGGGTATAGATACAGCATTAGTCTCTAAAACTAATTCCCTGTTGTTAGACAATTAGGTTATTTCTGGATTAACATCATTAGAAATCATGTTACTCATCCAGATTTGGTGTGTCAAAAGATATATGAGTTTTTAATGCTTTTGAAAAGAATTGCTACATGTTTTGGACAGCTAATTTGTGAAGATGGAGCTACTGAGGCCTAGAGAAATTTAAGCCATAACATGGTGTGGGCCACTGTGACAAATGTTGGCCTGGGAGTCAGCCCCTGGGCTCTAGTGTTGGCTGTGCAGTGGCCTTCTGTGTAACCCTGGCAGTTTGCTTGACCTCTCTGAGTTTCAAAAGTCTCTCTTCTAAGGTGAAGGATTTAGAATATGAGCCAGGAATTCTTTCCACATTGCTTCCCAGGCTGGCGGGCTGTTACCAGGCCCTGGATGGAGGTAACACCGCAGATGCGCTGGTGGACTTCACAGGTGGTGTTTCTGAGCCCATCGACCTGACTGAGGGTGACTTTGCCAATGATGAGGCCAAGAGGAACCAGCTGTTTGAGCGAGTGTTAAAGGTGCACAGCCGAGGAGGCCTCATCAGTGCCTCCATCAAGGTAGGAACTCACCAGGCCTGAGGCGGCCTCTGTGCTCTCCAACTCTGTGTGGGATGATTCAGGAGGTGGCTGTGAGGCTAGCTCAGAATCCAGACCCCCAGTCTCAGGGAGATAGGAGCCCCAAGACTGCCCTAACCCTGTGCTGTGCTCTGCCCCTCAAGCCCGTTCATCCAACACCCTCTTTTCTGACCCTCTCAGGCCCCCGGTGACCTCATCTAGGGCCCCTCAGTCAAGCTGTGAGGCACCAAGCTAGGTGGTAGCTGGAGCCCCTATGGCAGGCTGGCCCTGGGCTGGTGCCACAGAGGGGTCATCTGAGCTCTTTAATTGCTTGGGTTCTGCTGAGAAAGCAGGGTCTCAGTGTAGCTAGGATTTGAACCCAGGTAGAGCCAGTCCTATGGTGCCTGATAACTTAGTTTCCAGAAAAAGAAAAGACCTAATTTTGGTGGCATAAACATTCCCATTGTGATCAATTTCCAGATACCAATTCTCTTTCCAGCCAGTTCTCAGAATTCCTGAATATTTAGCAGTCACCTGACCCAGGGCTGGTTGGCCCCAACATACTGCAGAGCTGTCCCCAGGACAGGCACTTCCCTTACCATGCACTGCTGGTGGCAGGGGTTTGTAAAACCTGTGAACACAGCACGGTCCTCAGTCACAACCAAGATCTACCTTTGCGGGGGGATGCGGTTCCCTTTCTGTCCTGTAGGGGGCAGTGCCTAAGGACTTTAGTTCTGCCCAGATTTGGGTTCCAGGCTGTCCCTGCTTCTCTGAGCACCTGGGTCCTCCCACAGGCTGTGACAGCAGCTGACATGGAGGCCCGCCTGGGGTGCGGCCTGGTGAAAGGCCACGCGTATGCTGTCACCGATGTGCGCAAGGTGCGCCTGGGCCATGGCCTACTGGCCTTCTTCAAGTCGGAGAAGTTGGACATGATTCGCCTGCGCAACCCCTGGGGCGAGCGGGAGTGGAATGGGCCCTGGAGTGACACGTGAGACCCAAGGATAGGAAAGGATGGGCGGTCTTCCTGGAAGAGGTGGTTCTGGGGCTGGGCCGGGAAGGATGTCGGGAGGATAGTATTAGGAAGAGGGAAGGGAGACAGGTTGGAGTGGGGTGGGGAGTGGGGTTTGCAGCAAGGGCAGAGGCCTGGAGGTGATAGGAACCTAGCTACCAGGGGAAGGGGAGAATCGGGGCAGGGCCTCGGAGGGCACCAGTGATGCCTGTGTGGGGCTGATGCTCTGTGCTGTGCACAGTGAGGCCAGGAGGAGAGTGGAGCTGGCCCCTAGTAAAGGAGTCCCCTTCTCTGGGGGTCATGCCCTCCCTCTCCATTCCTGTTCTGCCACTTTGCTTCCAGCCCTCCTGGCCTGGATGGGGAAGGCCCACAGCTCCCTTTGAGAGGGGGCAGAGCAGGGCTGGGTGTGGCTCCCGTGTCCCTGACCACCGAGGGTGGCCTAGGCCTGAGCTCACCCAGCCTCCTCAGCCTGGCTGGAAGGTTCTGGTGGGGCCACTCTGCTTACACTGCTTCCTCTCCTCTCCCAGCTCAGAGGAGTGGCAGAAGGTGAGCAAGACTGAGCGGGAAAAGATGGGGGTGACCGTGCAGGATGATGGCGAGTTCTGGTGAGTGCTGTGCCCAATGCCTGGGGCTGTGGGGCAGGGTGGGAGGAGCTCAGAAGGCAGGGCTCTAGCACAGCCCATCACCAGCTTGCTGTGTGGCCTTGGATGAGTCACATCATCTCTCTGAGCCTCGGTTTCCTTCTCTGTAAAATGAGTTGGGCAGTAATGGGCCCTTTGATCCTATAGTCCCCTCTTGCCCCTCTGAGGGGACCCTGGGCTACTCTGGGCTCAGACTGAACCCTTGGCAAGAAGGCCAGGATGCCAGTAAGTGGGGGCTGACCTGAGGGCAGGGGCAGCTGGCAGCCAAGGATTTAGCTCAGTGGCACTAATTCTACCTTACAAATACAAGGTCCTAAGTTCGGTTCCCGGTTACACTAGCCCCCTAACCCCCTACCCACCCAAAAAAAGAGTAGGCAGAGAAGAAGAAGGTCCTATGGAGGAGCTTGTTCCAAACCCGAGACTCAGGCTGCAGAGACCCAGCCCAGAGGTGTGAGAGCTTTGGAAAGAGGGAGTTCAGAAGAGCAGGGAGCTGGGGGCATGGGGAGGAGGCTGTCTAGGAAGATGGCAGCAGCTGAGACCAAAGTTACTACTCTGGGATAACCTGCCTGCACTCGTTCGCCTGTGTTCTGTACCAGCTCTGTGCCAGGCTCAGTGTCATCCTTCAACAGGACACTTGGTTTGGAGACTTTGATCACCCTGGAGGGTATGGGGTGCCCTGTGTGAGGCAGATGCTGTAGGCCCGAGGCAGACCAGCACAGATGGCAGTGATCCTGGCCCTCCAATGAGGACCCCCTCTTGTAGGTTCCAGGAAGCTGCTGCAGGCCACCCAGGCCCTCTGGCCTGGGCCCCTGTGGATAAGACCTTGTGCAGTCTGGCTCAGGGGTCAGTTGAATTACAACATACCCAAGCCCCTCCTCCATGGAAAGGGTTGCCTCCTGCGGCCCTCCTCATACAGGTTTGTACCCTGTGTACCTCCCCAGCCCCTCACAGGCTGCTAGACATGTGCATAGCACCAAGTGACCCTAACACCCTGGCACTGCCACACCCTTACCTCATTTATTGAGGCCTCGGACCAGGTGTGGAAGCCTGTACACAGTTATTGATACTATCAACAGTTGCTGCTGCAGCCTGGGCCGGCTGTTGTCTGCCAAAAGTTGTACTGTGTTGCTTTTATTGTACCACTTAACCCTTGTGTTCCATTTTTGGAATCCCCATAACAGTGGGAATATAATAAAATTTTTTCTTTTCAAATTCTTGTGCCTTGAATTTTTCTAGGTATCAGATATGAATGTCATGCAAACATTTGAAAAATTGCAATCTTTGACATAAATGGGTTAATTCCTTCGCTAGCTCAGTGAGACAGGCAGCTGTTGACACATTCATCCCCATTTACAAATGAGGACATTGAGGCCGAAAGAGATTCAGGGTCTGTGTAGTGCCATGTGTGGCCATGGGTCAGAGCACATGAGTGAGTGGGCAGGTGGCCGGGAGCGCCTCACTCAGCCCTCCCTGTGCCCAGGATGACCTTTGAGGACATGTGCCGGTACTTCACTGACATCATCAAGTGCCGCCTCCTCAACACATCCTACCTGAGCATCCACAAGACATGGGAGGAGGCACGGCTGCAAGGTGCCTGGACACGGCATGAGGACTGGTGGCAGAACCGCAGTGGGGGCTGCATCAACCACAAGGACACATTCTTCCAGAACCCACAGGTGGGCATCCTCAGGGACCCCACCTTGCTCCTGAGCACCTGTGGGGGCCCCACCACTGTCCCACCATAGGCTCTGGCATGACCTTACATGCCTCCCTGTTTGTCCTTGGGCCTCAGCATACTCATCTGTACAGTGGGGTGGACTCACTGGCCTCTCTGGGAATCACGAAGCCCAACTTTACAGTTTGACCTGTACATGGTAAAAATGAGGATACTGCATCTCAGGGACCTGGAGTGTCTTGCCCAGAGTCTAGGGATATTCAGAGGCCAAAGTGGGGATCACAACGCCTTGTTTCTACAACAGCATGATTCTGCTATTTCCTGGGGAATTTGGTCAGGCTGAGCTTCTCCTCAGGGGTCTGTTCCTTGTGGCTCCCTTAGTCACAACCCATGGCAACTGCTTGATATGCCTTTATTGAGCACCAACTGTGTGTCAGGCTCGGAGCCGAGCATCCCTTATTTCCGAGTTCTCCCAGTCTTCATACAGGGAGGAGAGACGAGGCTCAGAGCAGTGATGGGACTGGGCACACTCAGGAAGCCCACAGGGGATGGAGCCTGGCTCTTGAGTTCATCTCTGGCGTTGTCTCATGGCAGTGTCTCTTTCTTTGGCCAAACCTATAGTACATCTTTGAGGTCAAGAAGCCAGAAGATGAAGTACTGATCTGCATCCAGCAGCGGCCCAAACGATCTACCCGCCGAGAGGGCAAAGGCGAGAACCTGGCCATTGGCTTTGACATCTATAAGGTGAGGCCAGCGGGGACCCCTGCTGTGGGTGAGGAATGGAGGAGCTGGAGTTTGGGCTGCCCAGGCCTGGAGAGAGCACTCTAGAACACCTTAGTCACCATCCTCACTCAAGCCATCCTGGCTGCATTGGCTCACGTGGTGGAGATGTCATGTTCGCTGTCGGCGATGGCCACAGAGTGCCTTGCCTGACTTCTGTGGGAGTGCTCAGTCTGATTCCTTTCTGTCTGAGACCCACAGCATAGACTGATGGGTAAGGATCACTATCATTGGGGCTGAGCTCTGGGATCCCCTGTGCGTCACGTGGCTCCTCCATGTCCCTCCCTTGGGGCTCAGGACCTCTCTCATCTCCTACAACCCCCCTATGTTGGAGGCCTCCTGTGCACAGGAGGAGCATCCTTGGGCAGAGCCAGGCAGGCTCATTGTTGGATGGAAACAGGACTTCCACATGTGATACCCAGTGTGTGACATTAGGTCCAGCAGGACCCCACATACTTGTCAGACCCCAAGAGCTGGAGGGGACCACATGGATGTGTGAAACACTTGGTCCATGCTGGGTCCTGGTATTTGATGTTCTTGGTCATGTTGAGGCAATTTGTGTCATGCAGCCATTGTGTGCTGATGTGTTGTAACACTTGGTTTTGACTTTGTGACTGTGGCGTTCTGTGATGCTTGTTTTGAGAACTGTCTAGCATCTTGGCAGCTGGTGTTGTCATTTCATGGATTTGTGCTATGACTTGGGCAGGTCATGAGACAGTAGGTCCCCCCTTATTCAGGGGGGTGTGTTCTAGGTGCCCCAGTGGATGCCTGAGCTGCGGAAAATACCAAACCCTTTATACTGTACTGATGACCAGAACAGCTGCACAGTGGTTATTGGGCAGGTAGTGCATATGGATGGCATGGATATGCTTGATAAAAGTTGATTCACATCCTGCGTGGGGTGAAACGAGGTGGTGTAAGATTGCATCACAGTATTCAAGAACACTGTGAAATTTAAAATGTATGAACTGTTTATTGCTGGAATTTTTAATTTAATTCTTTCAGTGCCTAGTTGACTCCAGGTAACTGAAATCATCAAAAGTAGAACTGCAGAAAAGGGAGGAACATTGTACTTGGTTCTGATGTGGCAGAAACCCCAGGGACATCGTTACAGGGGGTTCCTTTGGACCCCCTTTTTTGGTATTGGGGATTGAGCCTAAGGCCTTTGCCCTGAGCTGCATCCCTAGCCCTTTAAATTTTTTTTTTTTTAAATTTTGAGGCAGGGTCTTGCTAAATCACTAAGTTGCACAGCTGGTCTTGAGCTTATAATCCTCCTGACACCCTCCAGAGTACTCTCCCTTTTTAATAGCTTTCATTGAGACAATTCACAGACTGTCCAGCTCACTCATTTGAAGTATATAACCTAGTGACTTTTAGTGTAGTCAGAGTTGCACAACCATTAGCACATTCAATTTTAGAACATTTTTATCACCCCCAGAGAGATCCTGCTGCCTTAGGCCATCACCACCCAATTCCATTGACCCTTGTCTCCTTCAGCCCCTGGCAAACACTAATCCCCTTGCCTGTTCTGGACATCTCACTCACATGGATTCTAGCAAGCGGAAGATAGGTGGGCTGGATGCAGTGGGTGGGGCCCCACAAGGGCCAACCCCTCTGTCTCCCACAGGTAGAAGAGAACCGCCAGTACCGCATGCACAGCCTGCAGCACAAGGTCGCCAGCTCCATCTACATCAACTCACGCAGCGTGTTCCTTCGTACGGACCAGCCCGAGGGCCGCTATGTCATCATCCCCACCACCTTTGAGCCAGGCCACACTGGAGAGTTCCTGCTCCGAGTCTTCACAGATGTGCCCTCCAACTGCCGGTGCGCAGGGCTGTGTGGGGTCAGGGCTGGTAGGGCACTGTCCACACTGGGCCACAAGGGGCCTCAGCCAGCAGTGCTAAGTGTCTGCCTGAGGCATGGAGCCCAGATGTCCAGCCCTCCCAGCCTGACCCGTGTCCCTCTTCTTCCTCTCCCTTCCTCTGCACCCCTATCCCAGCCTCTTGGATATGACTAGTGGAGTCATGTGTACTGCACTTCCCAGTTTATAAAGAAGCTTTACTCACCCCATTTGATTGTTTCATACCCCTGAGCAGAAGGCCTGACCACTCCATTTTACACATGAAAATAAGGACCTATGTCAGAAGGGTTGTCTGAGGTCACATGGCCAATGGTAGTGGTTACCACCTGCCACCTGCCTGGCCTGATTCCAGGGTTTGTGTCTTGCTATCATTATGCCCTATCCCACGGGACAGGGACTAGCTCTGGGGACCCAGGGACTGCAGAAACCATCCCCATCCCTGCTGGGGTGTAGACCCTGTGTTTCCCGTACTGCCCACCCCACCTTGGTGTGGGACCCAGACTTGATGTCACTATTTGAACCCCTCCTCACTTGTCTTCCTGGCACCCCCTCACCCCCACCAGAGAGCTGCGCCTGGATGAGCCCCCCCGAACCTGCTGGAGCTCCCTGTGTGGCTACCCCAAGCAGGTGACCCAAGTCCATGTCCTGGGGGCTGCTGGCCTTAAGGACTCCACGGCAGGTGAGCTCAGCAGGAAAGGCCCTGGTTCTGCTGGTAGTTGCCCCAGGCCCTCCCTTCCAGAGCAGCCCCCAGCCTGTAGAGCTCTCCAGCTCACATTCAGTGGTCAGAAAATCTTCCCTGACATCCATTGGGGGGGGGGGTGCATGGAGCACACAGAAGAGCAGGTCTAGCACCTGTCCTGGCAGCTTCCTGCTGGGATGGGGGTCAGATCCTGGAACAGAGAGCTGGCACAAGTGCTCAGGGAAGGCTTCCTGGGGGAGGTAGCCTTTCTCCAGGCTGAGAAGGTCTAGGGTACAAAGTCTAGTGAAAAGAACTGGGGGAATGGGTGCTCTGGACAGAGGTAAAGGCCTAGAAGCCAGAGATTACCAGTCTGCCTGTCTCTTTAAGTTAAGAGACCTTGTGGTGGGTCAGGCTCCAGCCTTGCCTTCCCCTGAATGACGGAGGCCAGGGAGATATCTCACCTCCCAGACATCCTTTCCATCCAGGCCTTCCTGCAGCCCACACTCACTCCAGATCCCACTCCCTCTCTAGGGGCCAACTCTTATGTGATCATCAAGTGTGAGGGGGAAAAAGTTCACTCGCCTGTGCAGAAAGGGACCTCAGTGCCTGAGTATAATGTGAAAGGCATCTTCTACCGCAAGAAGCCAGGCCAGCCCATCACTGTCCAGGTGAGCTCACAGGGGGAGGGCCAGGACAGAAGAGCCTTTGAGGGGTGCTGGGCTCTGGTGGTTGGTCTGTCCCTCACTCCTGGTGTGGCTTTGGCATTCTCTTGCCTGTATCTCACGCTGCACCAGCATCAGGGTTGTACATGGATGGGTTGGATTAGCTAGTGTGATTCAGAGACTCAGCAGGGTCAGTCTCCTGGCTGGGGACATTGGTCATCTCTGCTGCCTTGCCCAAAGCCCTAGGAGCTGTTCTTTGGAGTCCCCAGTGGGTGGATCATTTGGACAAGTGCTGCTGAGATGGTGTGGGCTATGGCTGTTCCTAAGAGCCTGGAGCAGGGGCTAGAAAGCCACTGTCCTTGGACACAGCCTTCCTTCTCCTCTCAGGCCAAGGTGGCTGGTGCAGGATGATTCTGAGCTCATTAGCAGGAAGCTCTTTGTCCCCCAGGCCCAGAGCAGCATCTCTCTGGGTGAGAAACCATCTGTAAACAAATACTTGGGGACCCCAGGGGAGCCACTGTAGATTTTCCAAGTTTTCTTAACTGTGGGTCCCACTGGATCAAATCACAGACCCATAGCTATTAGGGCTAGAAGGACCCCAGGGAGCAGTTGATCCAACCCTCATATTAGTAATGGAGAACCTAGGGCATGTTGGGGGGTCACTTGTCCAGCTTCACCCAAGGTCAACAGCAGAGCTAATAATAATCTTTATGAGTGGAAGAGCACTTTGACAGGTGGGGAGCCCAAGGCTCTAGAAGAGGCACTTCCTTGCCCAAGGTTCACGGTGAGGAAGACAACCCAGGTTCGCACTATGGGGGGTGATTCTGGGCTCTGATGCCACCACCAACACCTACCATAGGTTGTATTCCTGGTCTTAGGGATGGTTCCTCCCACAATCCTCTGTCTCCTCCCAGATTTGGAACCACCGAGTCCTGAAGGATGAGTTCCTGGGCCAGGTGCACCTGAAGGCTGAACCCGATGACCTCCAGGCCCTGCACACCCTCCACCTCCGAGACCGAAATAGCCGGCAACCCAGCGACTTGCCAGGCACCGTTGCTGTGCACATCGTCAGCAGTGCCTCCCTCACAGCTATCTGACGCCTGCCTGTCTACCTGGCCCCAGTAATTCAGACCACCACCTGCATGTCCACACCAGGCCTGGGACCAGCCCAGGCGCCAGACACTGGGCTTCTTTTCCCACTCTTCCCCTGACTTGCTGTATGACCTTGGGAGATCTCTGCACCCCTCAGAGCCTCAATATCCTGAGGGCCCCAAAACATTCCCTTCTTATGAGGGAGTCCTCCTGCCTGAGATTTAAAATAGCCCTCCCTACCCCAGCTGTCACCACTGCTAAGGGACTCTGTCCATTGAAAATATTTCCCCAAGGCTCTGCTAACTGCTGAAGAGTGCCAAGATGTCACTTGTTTACACACAGATTGCCATGTCCCCAAACCCCACTGTTGCCCTTTGTTTCCCAGGCCCACTCCAGTGTCCCAGACCTCATTTTCTGTGTCACCTACACCTTGTTTGCAAGCCACCTTGAAAGGACTTGCGGGGCATCTGCTAGGTTCCTGCTCGGGCTAGAATTTGGGGACCACGTGGGTGATATTTGTTCAGTCTCTAATCCTGTCCTCTCACCCATCTGTTTATTCACTCGGTAGAGATTTGCCAAATAAGCAACACCCGAGAGGCTCCAGGGAAGTGGAGCCCTGTCTCTGCCTCCGGCCTTGCCTCTGCCCTCAGGTCTTCTCAGAGGCAGTCGCTCAGATGAGCTGCACTGCCAGCTGATTCCAGGTTCCAGCGTCATCTGCAGTCCCTGGTCTGAGGTCCCTGGAGAGAGAGTGACCATGGGTGAGGAAGGGGCACCTTCCTGCCCCCACTGCCTAATGTGGAAAGGAATGTGCCCAGCTAGTGTGTCAAGTGGGCAGAGGGGCCAGAAGGACCCAGAGGGAAGCAGTACTCCCCTCTGCTGCAAGGCTTCTAGGAGAAAGGGCTCTGGTGTGGGTGGTGCCAGCCCTGGGATCCTGTCACCCAGTGGGCGTGCCAGGAGGTAGGAAACTCCACTGCCTGACCGGAGGCACCTCCACCAACATTCCCACAAACAGCCAAGGAGGCCAGTGTTCTTCTTTCTGTCTGGACCAAAATGATCCTTTTAGTCCTCACTGCTTTATATACCTTCTGTTTTAGAAATCTCAATTTTAACCAGGGGTTTTTAAAGGAAACCCTGAACCCCCTTTTTCTTCCTAGAACTCTAGTTTTACTGATCTTCTGATTTTATTTTGATTTCACCTGGGGAGGGATGTGGTTGAAACCACATCAGAAATGGTTGTGGTTGAAGGGATGTGGTTGAAACCACCTTCTCAGAGGTGGTCTGGAGGAGGTGAAGATGAAGATATTTGTATCCGAACATCTGTTGGCTGGTGCTGACTGTGTTGCTGAATTCTTGCCTGCTTGTGCGTGATCCACTTGGGGTCTCCTTGGGCTTCTAGACCAGACACAGCAAGCAAATGAAAAGTGCATTTGGTTCAAGAGCAAGAATTCCTTTTGGAAACCTGAACTTTGACTCCAGACCTGGAAGTGTGGGCTGGTGACCTGGCTGGAGGTGCTGGATCCTCTGACTTTGCCTCCTTGCTCCATGACTGGCTGTGCTCCTGGGTCCTGGCCCTGGGCCACAGGAGGGTCCAGGAACTGAAAGACAAGGAGCACAAGAGGATTCCTTCTCACAAGTTGGGGCTTCCCCTTGAAAATCTGGGACTGGGACTCTGCATGTGACCAAGAGCAAGTCACTTATACCTCCTGTGCCTCGACTTCTCCCTCTGCAAAGTAGGGTGGATGGTTCCTATTTGTCAGCACTCTCACTAGCAAGTGCTGAGTAAGGGCAAGGGAATACCCCATCTCTGTGTATTTATCTCTGTATGCTTACACACTATACACACATTCACGTAATCACTTTGCAATGTCTATTCAAAATTATGACTCCTGATTCAGGGCTGAAGAGGTGAGTACTAGGTAAGCCAGCCTGGGCCTCTGGGACTGACACATGGGTCTTTTGTTGAGCCATATCTCCCAGGAACACAGGGGCAAATCAGGACCAGGTGGTAGAGTAGTGTGGGCTTCAGCCTGGGAGTCAGATGTGCCTCCCACCCCCAGCAGAGCTGTACAGCAGCCTTCTAGGTAGGCCAGGCTGGCTCCTGGCTGTGCTGGGATTTCTGTCCCCAGAAGTCCCTGGGGGCTGGGGAGGTAAGGATGGAGGGTGAGTTGAGGAGAGCAATTATTTTGTTCACTTTACAACCCAGGGAACCTGCAGCCCACACCACCCAGACCTGGGCTCCACTTCTCTCAGGGCCCACTAAGGCATTAGGGGAGAAGAAGCCTGTTCTCTTCTCAGAATAAATGTTACTGCAATTCCAGAAAAACCTTCCCTTGTCTGCCTATCCCTTGTGACTGTGTGTGTTGGGGGGGGCAGTTGATGACTGTCCTCTGGTCAGAGGAGTGGGCAAGCATCTATAGGCTGAGATCTGTGGGATCCTCATCACTCCTTCGAGAAGCAAATTGTCACAGGGCTAACTACCAAGTCCCACTCCGAGCTCTGGGGAGACAGGAAAACAGTCCCTGCCCTGAAGCAGTCCACAAGCTGCTGGGAAACACTAATACATACGCTCTGACCCTGCCAAGCATTGCACAGTTATTGAGAGGGCAATAGAGGACTTGCTGGGGCCTTTTAGTCTGCTAGGTCATGGAGGCCTAAGCCCTGCTTCAGTAAAACAGGCCACAACACTGAGGGCCACAGGAGAGGAGATGGGTTTCGAGGCACAGGTGGGGACGGAGAGGAGTGCAGGGTTGTGGGGAGGAACTGGGAAACCAGGGAGCAGTGAGAAGGAACAGAGTAGAGATGGATTTTGAGGGCAGAGTTGGCACATCTCAGTGATAGGCCGGGTTTGGGGTGGGAGGGGGCATGAGTAGAGGAGGAGGACAAAGTGAACCAAGACTGGTTCTGTTGTTTGGATTTGGGATCCTGCACAGGCTCACGTGTTGGAAGCCTGGGCCCCAGTGGAACAGCATTGAAAGGTAGAAACTTAAAAGGAGGGGCCTAGTGAGAGGTGATTAGGAAGGAATGAATGGCCTTTTGTGAGGCTGGATTGGTGGCCGTGAGAGCAGGTTGCTAGAAAGCGAGGCCACCAGGTGTGTTCTACTCCATGCAGTCCACGGCTCCTGCACTCGAGCCCACAAATGATGCCATCCTTTGCTGAGTCACAACACAGCATGAGGCCACCACCCAATGTACCCACCCAGGCTTGGACTCTTCAGCCTCCAAAATAGCCATCATTAGCCTCTTTTTCTTAGGAAGTATCCAGTCTCAGGTGTTCTGTTATCACAAAACAGAATGGCAGATTCCTAGATTTCACAGGGGTTTGAGAAATGAACTGTGACCTGCTTAGCAGACTGCCTGGGCATGGTGGGTGTCCAGGAAAGTGTAGCAGTTACCAAGGGATCTGAGACCTTCTCCTCCACAACCTTCCCTCCTCACCACCCTCCAGCCCAACAGCTCCCACTGCTATTCTGCCCAAGCTACAACTGTGGTGTGTAGGCACCCCGTGCTCCAATCAGAGAGCCTCATTTTCCCCATCTGTGTGGCCCAGGCCATTTGCCCTGCCAGCCTGGAGCCTTTGAGAGAGGTGATTTGAGACGCTCCAGTGTGAAGTAATCAGCTGCAGGTGAAGTCCAGAGGTGGAGACCGTTCTGGAGCAACTCCAGCCAGGGCTGCCAGGCTAATGGGCACTAGAGCATGCTGAGTCTGAGGGACCCAGGCCCAGCAGGGGCTGCCTCCAGTAATGTCCCCATCACAGAGCCTGGCTCCCTGTTGAGCCTGTGCCCAGCAGGGGGCGCTTGTGGTCCTGTCCACCTCAGGCCTCCAACCTCCCCACCCCCATGCTCCTGGTGGCTTCCCTGAGGACTCACCCCTTTAACTCGAGGGCAGGCACCCAAAAGCTTCCCTGCTTCTGCTGGACCTAGAACTGTACTTGGAGAGGTGCACAGATGGCAGGCAAAAGTGAGTGGGAGAAATGACTGGGAAAAAACAAAAAAAGAAATGACTGGGTCTCAGGAAGGAGTCCTCCAGGCCACCCCTTTTGCCAGTGCTAATAACAAAGATTGTGCGCTCCTTCCAATCATGCATTTCACTCCACTTTGTTCCTATGATATGTGAGGCTGCTTCTCCAGTGGTACCTTGGTTCTCGTTAATTGGTTCTGAGAGGTGTGAGGAGTACCAAACAATGGCTGGAAGGGTAGCGAGTTTGACAAATTCTACCTTGCGCATCCAGTGCCAAGTACATGACAAGTACCAGGACACAATTTTCACATCAAAATCTGTCCAGTACCAAAGTTGACAAGTTTCAAAGCAGTTGAGTATGACCATATGTACAGGTATGGTGTAGTTATGGTTTGGCAAAGTTTCTGGATAATTATAAAAGAGCACACGTCCTCAGCCCCCAGAACAAGTTGTGGGGGCAACATTGAGTTGATGAGCTTCAGGGCGACACATGGGGGGACAGGAGGGGTGTGTGCAGGGAGGGGAAGGAGGTGCCAGAACACTGTTCTCTCAGCACTCCACCTGCTGCCCTGGCTGGCCTGGCCAGACCCTGTCAGAGTTTCAAACAGTGTCACGGAGGAGAACAGCTGGGAGGAGACTCCCAGGCGAGGCGGAGACTCCGGCAAATCAGTGACCAAGCCAGGATCACAATGGGGTTTCCTCTAAGGTGCTGAGGCTGCAGGGAGTGGTACTGCAAATGGCAGGGGGCCTCTGTGAGTGGCCCTGGGCCCCACACGTGTCAGCAGCACAGCTAGAGACTGCAATGATCCTGTCTCCCTGTTGGCTGGTGGCGCTCTGTGCAGAGCCCTGGGCAGCCTCTGGACAGCAGTCCCAGCACAGCCCGTCCCCCATTTGATGTCACCACACCCAGACCTTGGAGGCCCCCTTGGGCTCCGCCTCCTGGGAGAAGGCTCTGGAGTGAGAGGGGAGGGTGCCAGTGCTGGCTGGACAGTTGCCTGGGAGGAAAAACCAGGAGAGAGAGGCATCCAGGGCAAGCTGCGGGGCAAGACCCAGGAAAGGGCAACGTATCTACAGGCTGTGCCAGACTGGTAACCCCAGCCTCCTGAGTTCGTGCAGGTAGCAGCTGCAACCAGGCTCGTGCAACACTGTGAGTGTGCAGCTGGGACTCAGGTAAGGATAGGCTGCCCTTGTCCCGGCACGGGAGAGGGTATTTTGGATTTGGGTGGAGCCCATGCCCCTACAGCCACTTGCTCGTACATTTCCTGCCACCCATGGAGGCTCCACCACAGCAGCCATTGAATGAAATTGTTCCGAGCTTGGGAAGATGGAGATTTGAACCCTGGAGGAGGGAAGGGCCAAGGCTACTGAGTTCATCAAATTGTCTCTGTGTTGGGGTGGGGTTGGGGAGCATCCTGCAGCCAGGGGAGCAGGCAAGTTGAGGTGTCAGAGAGAGTCCAAGAGAGTCCTCTGTCGCTGTCTCTCAGCCCCCTCTGGCCTCTCTCTGACACTCTTGACCTCTCTCTTTGGATAAGTCACTTCCTTTCTATGTACCTCAAGCTTCCCACCTGTGATATGGGAGTATGAAGCCCCACCAGCCAGGATTGTCATGGAGACAGGGTGGAATCAGAATGGGCTTAGAAATACAATTACTGTCTGCATTCCCCCATTGTCAATTTGAAAGGCAATGAACTTGATCATGGTCTAGCTCTTATTCTTAGAAATAAAATGCATACCTTGTAGTTTTCCCAATGGATGGGCCTTAAATTCTAACCCCTTACCATCTTTCCAAAACCCTTACTCTTTCATAAAAACCCTGGTTTGGACTCTGGCTCTCGTGGCTCATGCTGATGTCCAATGCCAGCACAGTGCCTGGGGAATCCTCTTCAGACAAAGCTCCTAGGGGAGCAGCCTGCTGAGCCTTCCAACATTCTCTTCCCTGCCAGGCACTCAGGCCTGTGCAGGTCTCAGGAAAGACCACACACTCTCTGGAATCCAGAGCTCCAGCCCTGTGGCCCTGAGGTCAGGGCTCAGGTGTCAGGCAGTGTCATGGGCAGAGGATCAAATGACTCAGCGCCTCTGAATGGGCCCTTGTGAAAAATTGATGTTCATCCTGTGGGCAGATTGGGGGCCAGAGGGCCTCATGCCAGGGCCTGTGGGCCAGAGCTCTTTTTGATGGCCATGCTCATCCCACAACTCCTTCCTGAGCCCATCTTTGAGCCTGGATGAAGCTGGAGAAAAGGCAATGGCTCGGGCTCTGGCCCTGCCCTGGATCAACTCCCGGACTTTAGGAGCAGAAGTAGGGACAGGCCATGACCCAGGCAGCATCACGAATACAGTCAGAGCTGAGACAAAGGTAAACACAGAGGTTCTTGGCAGCCCCCAGTGGTAAGGGAAGCTTCCAGGAGGAGGTGCCATCTGAATTGAGCCAGAACCATAGGAAAGGTTTTACCAGTCAGAGTTCCAGGAAGAAGGGCCAGTGGAAGCAAAGGCCAGGAAGTATGAGGAGAGCTGGAATAGTTCAGGAATAGTGAGTCCCTAAGAATGGTTCCAGTGTAGGGGTAAGGAGAGAAAAGGCTGAGGCATCAGCAGGGGCCAGACTATGCTAGGACTTGTCTTCCCTCCCAAGGCCAAGGATGCTTGGGAAGGCTTTTGCCCAAGGTGTGCCAGGCACGCAGGCCATGTTTAGTCTGTGCCTGTCCCCTGTCACTAGGCTGCCCTGTCACCCGCACCCCTGGGGCATCCCTGAGCTAGGAGGCCGAGACCAAGGGGGGAGGGGCTGGGCTTTGGGAGGTGCCCAGTGACCTCAGCCTGGCTCAAGGATGCCAGGGCTGGTCTGCTCAGAGGCTGACATGGTTTCACTCCTACAGAACTGTGTCTGCCGGGCCCTGGGGAGCGGGCAGCGGGAGCTCTGACACAGAACCATGGTGATTCTTCAGCAGGTGAGCACTCCCGAACCTCTGAGCCCTCCAGTTTCTTCCACCTGAGGCAGAGCCAACCTTGTCGTGTGCCTCATCCTGCTGCCATCCCATCTGCTTATCTATATGCTTCACTATGGGATGCCCTCTCCAGTCTTTTCTCTTGGAAAATCCCTAAATGTGCTTTAAAACCCAACTGAGAAACTTCTCCTGCCTCTCAATGGCCCATCTGGGCCTTGCCCCTCTGATGCCCACTGGGGTTTCCTCCTTTCACTGACTCGCCCCACTGGGCAGAAATGATTGATTCATCCACATGTCAGAGTCCCAGGCATTCCAGGCTGTGGATCAGACTGTGCAAAGTATGTGGAAAGTCCGTGGGGCAGGGCTTGGCAAGGCTGCTTAGGAAAGGCCCTGAGCCTGATTTGTCCTGAGGGCCTTGGGCAGCAGTGAGTGGGGGTGACATGGCCCAAGTAGAGTCCCTTGGGGTGACATGGGAGGAGACAGAGGTGCTGCAGCCCCACTTCCTCCTCAGGGCCACAATGGCCTCAGGTCCTCAGCCTTTCCCGGTGACCAGCCTGAGGCTCTAATGAGCTTCTGGTCTCCAGAGCAGGATCCAGGAATGTGGGCCCCAAGCCACGTGGGCCTGGCCTAGGGCCTCAGGGCTTGCTGGGATGGGTGCTGCGGGGATTTCACCAGCCACTTCCTGTCATACTGGGTCACCAGAGGCAACATAGCAGCTTTGTTCTGCAGCCTGAGACTCAGTGTGTTCATGTGTGAGAAGGCGGGATCAGGACAGGGTTCCATCCCAGATCCCCTTGGCCTGATAGCTTGTTCAAAGGCCCATCAAAGATGACATGGATCTTAGAGAGAAAGTGGCCTACACGGAGTGCTGTATGCCAGGTTTGGACCACAGAGGGCTGGGTGAGTGGGGACACACACAGACTCTCAGAAGCGGGGCCTGGCCCCCATTACCCCCTCAGGGTGTTTTCCCTCAGGCAGGCCCCTGGCTAACTGGAGCCCCTATGACCCCCTCCCCTCCTCCTTCCTCTGAATGCTAGTCCACCTACCTTGCAGAGGGCCTCTGCTGGGAGCAGGTATCTGTAGCTGAATGGTGGGTCTGCCCACCCCTCACCCTGGAAGTGCCTTTGGTCTCAGCAGTGTCCCAGCTCTGGGGAGCTGGCCAGCTCTGTGGTTCTGCAAGGCAGAGCCCACATACCTGGCTCCATCCTGAGCTTTGCTATTGACAAGAGGGAGGAGCTTGGGGCACATTATTTAGCCTTCTCTGAGCTCAGTTCCCTCACCTATAAAGTGAAGATAAAAGTCCTCTTCTTTCAGCTCAGCTGTTGTGAGGCTAAAATGCCATACTTCCTTCCACTGCTTTCCTGCTCTCATCTCTCCTGTCTTCATCTTGCTACCTCCTTCCTCATCCTGCAAGATCCACAAAACACTCAGCCTCCCCTTCTTGCCTGATGACATCTCTTTAGGCCTCAGGAGCTGTCCCTGCTCAGCTAACACAGGTCTGCATCACACCCCATTCTCTTCCCCTGCCATCCTGGGCCTCCCAGGGAGCCCTGAAGAGGGACAACCTCATCCTTCCCATCTCCTCAGCCCCTACACTGGTCCACTCTACCAAATAGTGCAGAATAATGATGTACCATCATTGCTCCCAGGGGCTGTGTTAGAATCCTGGTTCCATCACTCTCCAGCTATGTGGCTGCAGGCAGGTGGCTGCATATGTAACAAAGGACTGATGATGACCCCTACCTTATAGGGATACCTGAGACCAAAACACCAGTGTATAGAAAATGGTTAGCTCAGTGCTTGGTGCAGGGCTCCATGACCACCACTGATATGGTAATATTAACAGTGGTCCTGGGTGTGACATATCCCCATCCTTTGTTCTCTCTTACTTTATTTGGAATGAAAAATCTCAGGAGACCTCAAAGGATACAGTGGTTCTTTTTCCATGTATAGAATCACTCCATGTGGGACATATCAGTGACACAGATTCACCCATCACCATCCACGCTCCCATCCATCATCCCTACTTTTCTGAACCCGATAGGGTTCAGATACAAGAGACACCTTTACAAAAGTGATCCAAGAACCCAAATCTTTTCATTCATGAAGAAAGCTTATTCATTTGGTAAGGGTTGTGGTCCTCCCATGTGCCAGGCGTACTACACACGATCTCCTTTTATCACAAGGCTATGAGGTAGACACCTTTGTGACAATATCCCTGAGATTCAGACTGCTTATTGAAACTTGAGCTGGGTGCATCTGGACAAGGTAGGGAGCCATGATTCTGGGGGTGGGGTGGAAATAGGCAGGAAGAGGAGGCCTGGGGAAGGCTGAAGTGCAAGGGTGGCACAAAGGTTTGGGACAAATAGATCAGACTGGCCATGCTAGGTGGCATTTGCAGGTCTCTCCAAGGACCTTGTGGCAGTGTGGGCAGACCCACTGTGTTTATGGCCTTGGCCGTGGGGTGGGGCTGCCTGGATTGCTGGAGTGTCTGAGGCTGCCTCCTCCAGCCCCATGTCACCTACCAAGCAGAGCAGCACTGAGCCCCTTTTCTCCAAGCCAAGTCTGGCACCAGGAATTCAGACAGAAAGTGACTATTGCCTTCCCAGGCAGTTTCCAGAGCAGTTGCGGCATGAGGGTGGGGGGCTCCTAGAAAGAAACTCTGTGAACAGAACTGTGAGAGCCAGGGCTCCCGGGGGCAGAGGGGATGACGGAGACCTGGGAATGGGGGTGCTTCTGTAGGGATGTGGGTAGGGAAAGCTGTGACGCTCTTATAGCTGCCCCTGAAAAACGCATGGGGACTGAGGGCTCGGGAGGACTCACAGATGCCAGGGTGAGAACTAGAACCCAGAGGTCTATAATAGGCACACATGACACGTTTCTTTGAGAATCTCAAGGAAGGCTGTTTGTTTGTTTCAGTCTGACATGACTTCCCACTCTATGGTGGGGCCAGGGTGGGGACTTGTAAGTACTTGACCCAGATTTCTGGGCAGAGAAATTTGAAGATAAGTGTGTGAGCTGTTGGTGACAGCTGGATTGACCCTTTCAGTAAAATAGAATGTCCTTTGTCTCTTGTAATAATTGTGACTTCAAGCCTGATTGGTCTAAGGGTAATCCAGATATCGCAGCTCTCCCTCTATTTGCATGGAATGCCATTTTTGCATGAACCTCTTCCACTTCCAGCCTATCTGTGTCTGGGGACCTAAAGTGAATCTCTTGCAGGCAGCAAGCACACAGTTTGATCACATGTTTTTACTCATTCTGCCATCTCTACCTTTTTGTGGGTGGAGGTGTACTGGGTATTGAACCTAGGGTCTTTGCACTGAACTTTATCCCCAGGCCTTTTTAATTTTTTATTTTGAGACAAGGTCTCTCTAAATTCCCCGGGTTGGGCTCAAACTTGCAATCGTCCTGGCTCAGCCTCCTAGAGTACTGGGATGATGGACTTCTGCTTTGCTATTTGTTTTCTGTTTTAAAATGTCCCCCCTCTCAATTCCTCCACTACTGCTTTCTTTTGTGTTTAATTGACTTTGTCCTCATGCACTGATTTGATTCCCCTTTTATTTCTTCTTCTATATGATTTTCTACTTTCCTTATTTTTAAAAACTTTCTAAAAATATTTTCTTTAAAGGTTAGCCTTTGGTTTACAATTAACATCTTAAATGTACAATGTAGTTTAAGACCAAATTAGCTTCAATAGTACATAAGAATTGCAGTCCCATATAATTCTATTCCTCCCCTTTTCTTTTTTTTTTTTGGTACCTGGGATTAAACTCAGGACCTTGTGCTTGTGAGGCAGGCACGGTGCTACTGAGCTAAATCCTTGGGCCCTACCCCCCTTCTGTTGTCACAAATTATTCCTTTATATATTGTATGTCTATTAGCATAGATTTATCATTCTTTTATGCATTCACATAGGGAAAAAAATTACACACCCAAAGTTCAATTGATACTGGCTTTGTCTCTATTTATGCAGTTACCTTTAATTCATATGGCTTTGAATTACTCTCTGGTGTCCTTTAATTTTGTCTGATTTTTTGTTGTTACAAAATACAAATAACAAAATTTACCATCTTAACTATTTTTAACTGCACAGTTCAGTGGTATTAAATAAATTCCTAATGTTATGATAGCTGTTCCCACTACCCATCTCCATAACTATTTTCATCTTGTAAAAGTGAAGTTTCACCCATCAAACAATAACTCTTCTCCCCTCAGCCCTGGAAATCACTATACCTTCTGTCTCTACGAATTTGACTACTTTGGGGACCTCATATAAGTGAATCATATACAGTTGTCTTTTACTGGTGGCTTATTTTACTTAGCATAATGTCCTCAAAGTTGATCCACGTTGTAGCAGGTGACAGGATTTCCTTCTTTTTCAAGGCTGGACAACAGTCTGTGAATGTACACAGCACGTGTTGTTTATCTCGGCATCTACTGAAGGGCAGCGCCTGTTTCCATGTTTTAGCTCTTGTGAACGGTGCTGCCACAACATAGGTGTAGGAATATCTCTTTGAGAACTTGCCTTCAGTTCTTTTGAGTATTGTATATGCTAGAAGTGGAATTGCTGAATTATATAGTAATATAGTAATTCTATTTTTAACTTTTTGCAGAACCACCATACTGTTTTGGACAGTGACTCTACTATTACACATTCTCACCAGCCATATACAAAAGTTCTAATTCCTCACATCCTCACCAATGTTTATTGTCTGTTTTTTGATAGTAGCCATCCAAGTGTAATTTTGATTTACATTTCCCTTATGATTAGTGACGTTGAGCATCTTTTCGTGTACTTCTTATCCATTTATATATCTTCTGTGGAGAAATGCTTATTCAAGTCCTTTGCCTGTTTTTGATTGGGTTGTTCTGTTGTTCTTCAGTGTCCTTTAATTTGTAGAAATTTTACAGGATAAGTCAAATGGTGACAAACTTTCTCAGCATTTCTCAGCTGTGTGTGTGTGTGTGTGTGTGTGTGTGTGTGTGTGTGTGTGTGTGTG